TGCCTGCTAAAGAATGGTGTTCCGGAAAAGTACGTCGCCATACTTCGCGCGCTATACCTCCACACTTCAGGCCGAGTGAGAGGCTATGGCGCGCTTTCCCAACTCTTCGCTGTCTGCAGTGGCTTGCGACAAGGATGCCCAATGTCACTGTTTCTATTCAACATTTGCGATCGACCATGTACTTATAGGAGCTTTAGAGGGTCTGCAGAATTTCGGCATCGAACTTCTTCCAGGTAATCGCGCTACCGACTTAGACTACGCTGATGATGTCGCCTTGCTCGGTGATCACTCCCATGGGATGCAATTGTTCATTGATCGATTGATGATTGGTCTAGGTTTGGTATGTACTTTGCCACCTTCAAGTGCAAAGTTCTTCTACAGTACTGGCAGACATCCCTTCCCTAATTCAACATCGAGGGCACACAGCTCGAGCACGTAGATAGTTTTATCCACCTAGGGAGCTGCGTCTCTGCCGACGGCACTATTGGAGCAGTGGTGTCCCTTGGAATCGCTAAATCCCGGTTAGTTTGCCAACTTAAGACATTTGTGGCGCAGTCACGACATTTCACTCTCGCTAAAGAGCAGGGTTTACAAAGCCTGTGTATCCGCGACATTGCTGTACGGATGCGAATCCTGGCCGATCCGTGTGGAGGACATGCGTCGTCTTTCGGCCTTCGACAATAACTGTTTGCAGAGGATTGCCCGCGTGTGTTGGCAACACTGAGTGTGTAATGATGACGTTAGACACCGCGTCTTGGGTAAGGCGAAAGCTCCGCTTTGTGATGTCATCCGCCTGTGAGTTGACATGGTTTGGTCACATCGTGCGAATGCCTAACGAGCGTTTACCACGCCGCGCCCTATTTGCGCATGCAGAGTTACTCTGGAAAACGCCATCTGGAGACAATGTATGAAATCGATGACATCTTGCCTGGGCATCACTGGTCCAGCTCGAGCCCCCGGCTGGGGACGCAAAGATGAAGAATGCCAATGGCTCACAACGCTAGAAGCAATGGCACAAAACTGGTCGCAATGGAGGCAATGCGCACGAGTCTACCTGATTACACGTTTACCAAAACACTAACACTAAAATCTACAAAAAGTACAAACTGGCGTGTGTAAAACAAAAAAATTGTTGTTCCATTTTTTCATCCATTATCAAACTCCTACATGTTTTGTACGTTTTATTATTCTCTATTCCAAATTCCATGGTTTTGAATGGCTCGATGTCTATTTTATAGACTGTTGCCAACATGTATATACACATGGTTGGCGGCGTCCGGTCTCGGATTTGCCTGCCACTGTGGCCAGCCACATGACGCCTGTGTCTACAGAGGGACCATTGGCGGTCTGCGCTGCACCACCCACAGCTCCAACCACACACCCCATATCCGGTGTAAACCCGAAGGAATAAGACCGGGAAGCATGGGATAGAGTTGTACAGAAACTTTTCTACTTGCTATTCAATACAGTCTCGGAATTCATTCGGCATCCGTGTCCAATGGCAGTTCGAATACAACATATACACATGCGTTCGTCCAAACTTAAGTGTGAAATACTACAAACTGGATAGAGAAACGTTAATGATCATGAACAATAGTACTACAAACGTGCATGCGTTTGGTTCGTAGGTAAGGCTAACAGGCATATTCGCCAAGTTATGGTAAATCGCACGTACAAAAATAAGTAACCAATCCAAACTGTCGGTGTTTTCATAACATCTAAACGTGACATAAACGACAGCCTTAAATTCAATCGGAATTTTTAGTATCAATGTTTGATAGAAACATGTAGGAATAGGGAAGCAAATGCCATTAATACTGTTGTCGGCTGGAATGATAAATAATAAGAGGTACAGTAAAATAGTGATGCCTTACTGTTAGTGTGTTTTGAGGTGCTGTCTCCTATATGTGAAGTCAGACTTGCGAAGCTGATGGAGATTACACAGTTTGCGAATGCGATAGGGTGGTAACTTCAAGCTCCCAGTGTCGCTGCCGCTTACGACTGGACTGGTTTGATCATCTGCTCTCCGAAGCTCGTGCGGATTCCCAAAGAACGTCTTTTGCGCAACCTTAAACATTGACAGGTGGTAATATCACGCATTCGCTTATGGCTTTTTTGGCGCGACCACAGCAGTAATACATCAACTAAGTCCCGTTGCCCAGTGTCAAACATTCGGCTTTCCAGTGTTTACACTGGTTTAGAAATTTCCAAGAAGTAACTCGTCTGTCATCCAACTACTCAACCGTTTCCACATAAAGCTGTGTACTCTGATGTGGCCGTAAACTATTTGTCAACGATCTGTCATCGTACGTCTCGGGTGCAGCCATTCTGCTCTCCTAATCAATTGTCGCTATGCACTGATTTCTTCCCGATGTACTATAATAAGGCACTGATGTACCGTTACCGTTGGCCTCACCTTAGTATACCCATAAGATTGGCCATGTTTAATTCAACTTCTAGCGGGAACCTCTGCGCTTCCGCCTTTAATCTGAATGGTATCTGCTTGCAGTTAAATTCCGTATGGCGCATGAACAATGGGAAATATGGCTATGCTCACCTCATGATTAAAATGTGGAGCAGAACGTGAAGTATTAACATCATGGTGATAATCGCTAGTCAGTTAACTGTCAGGGTTGTTAACTTTCCACAGATTTTCCAGGGCGAATTTTCTTGTGATGTATGGTCCAACGTGACCACATGAGGAAAAATCCTGAAGCATTGTGTTCCAGATTTCAAACTTCACACCAAGCAAGGAAGCGTTGTTTTATGGGTATTATACACGGATAAGCGCTTGGAGCCTTTGACTCACGCGTATCCACTGAACTCAGAATAACTAAGCCAGGAACTGGAGACAAACTCAATAACCTACCATCCTAACGTAGATCCGTAACAATATCTCAATTCGCTCGGAAAACTCCGCGAAATGGCTTTCATTGACTCACATGCACATACACACTTAATGCGAATGAGATGATGGATGTACTGAACCTTTATCCTGCGATGCACCATCAATGTAAGTGTCGTGCTAGTATTCGGCACCTGGTCGAGATACGGTCATGTAATCCACCAATCGGTTTCAAGGAACGAAATCTAGGTGGAAGAAGGGATAGTGGCAGCCACGCATGGTCTGGTGAGCACTACCATGGAGTTTGCATGGTGATGTGAATTGCGAACGAATAATCAGAGGCGGACGATGCCGTAGCTCACCGTCTCGACATTTCATCGTACTAGAATCCACTTGAGTAGGTAGCAAGGGCATCATAGGTCACAAAGAGTATAAAGGTGTAGTGGACAATACCTTAGGTAATCGCGAAATACAACCGAGCTAAGTAAGCCCGATGAAAAGTAGGTTAGATGTGGATCCTACGTTTTGCATGGCACAAAGTCAGTAGTTAATCATTCTAGAGTGAAACTATACCCAAGCGCGACTTACATTAGCGATGGAATAAGGACGACACAAAGAAGATGACGGATATAGAGTAAGCAACTTTTCAAGTTAGCAGAGAAATGCTGCGCTTAAGTTAACTGGTTTTCATATGCTTGGCTTAGTTAGCGTGACCGGATGAAAAATGGGAACTACTGCTATGCTCACTCTCACAGTTAGCACCTTATGGTGATCATTAGTCAGTTACTTGCCGGGATTGTTCACTTTACACAAAAGTTACGGAACCATGTTTCATGAGATGCGTGGCTCAATGTCGATCCTTGTGACGAAAGTTGTTGGGCTTTGAACTACAAATTCCAGACTGCCCACCAAAGTGAGGAAGCGTTGTAGAGTACTTGGGATCCTGAGTTAATTGTTGATTAATACACCCAAATCTTCACTCGAATGCAAGAACGAATATTATCGTAAACAGTTTGCGCTTAGAAGCCTGGAGCTAACTTGGTCCCAACGGAATCAAAGCTGCCAAGCCGGTGCTAGATAATCGGTACTCAACAATCACCGCTTCTAGCATAACTTTGAATCAGCGACTACAAATCACCAAAAAGCCACCAGATATGGTTGCATATGAGCGGCGTCCCCATATCCCTGGCTTTTAAGATGGGAATATGTGAAGCTAACCGACAAATTCAACAGATTCGTCAATTTTCCTTTGTGACCACCAAACACAGGCATGTGCGTTTTACTTTTCAGACATTGTAACCCTTCGTCGGTGCATACAAGGTGGGGAGAACAGAACGACCAAGTGGCGGAATCATATTCGAACATGACCAACACTCACACCAACGTTTCAAAACAAATTGAGATCACCAGCAGTACGAGTCCCACTAAGGTCTGACACTAGGTCAACATGGCCTGTCAATCCTCTAAATGTCACACGAAGACAGACTGTAATAGTGCAAAACATCAACGTTGCAGTACCGGATAAACGAACGGGTTCCTATGCTTTTGAGCTCCGGTTACTGTGTGGATACAGGAACCGATTGAGGCGAATTTCCTAAGTGCATGGGAACCTGGATTCTTGCTTCTGGTTATGAAGGCTATCGTTAGCCTCAGCTTAGGCGACTGCACTATGTCGGTACAAACCCCCTTTAATCATGTCCGCCCACAGTTGTGTAGGAGACACCATAATCTGAGTGGGAGAACATTAATTCTCATATATGTCGACCGGTGGCCGAGTGGTCTGCGCGCTTGGTTTTCAACCATTCGGCCACTGGTTCGAATCCGCGTAGGGGTGGGCGTTCTCGCGGTATAGTCAGCCCACGTGCGACTGGTGGTGGTCGCATTGCAACGAAGCATCGTTACGGCGTACAGCTGGTTATTCAGTTATTAATCCATAGCATCATTACAAGGAACAGTTTGCTTACGTTGTCGCTGGGCATGTTGTAGTTCTTGTTTAGCGAATCACCGCTGCTTCCCACACAGTTTCCGTAAGTCAAGGGACCATACCGTGGCTCCACCATGACAACAAATTACGAGCCTTTTCTTGTAACCCTTTTGTGTCATACGTGTTTTTAGTACAACACACATCTCTGCAATTCAGTACTTTCCCTTTCAGGCTCATTTGAATTGGAAATATCAAGTGTGTTTGGCCTCGTCTCAAGTGAATGCGTACCTGGCTGATGAGTTATGTGGGATGAGCCAATCCGGAAGTCTTTCTACACTCGAAGCTGAGATAACAAATCAGCTGGCAGAGGTGCGAAAACTACCCCTTACTCGTCCTCTAGGATCTACGTCAACCGGAGTGTGAATTATTTACCGCAGTTCCTCAGTCCCTTATTTCTGATGCTACTTTTTCACTTATTTTTCTAATCAATTGTTACCTTGAGTATGTTTGAACCATGCACCTCTTCCTACGTCGTTCTAGATTTTACACTTATCATGAAATAAAATTGTTGTTTACCGTTATAACTGAAAACAGTGACGTAGCAGAACAAACCGAATGATCTCGCTTTCCGTTCGTCACAGTGGCTATCTTCCTTTTGTTTGTTCTTTTTATCACCTCAGTCCAAGATCATCTGGTGATGGTTCCCAAATAACTTTAGTACCGTGCTGTTTTAATGGCGGAGTGTATAGTGTATTCAAATCTGGATCCTTCCAAACATCGGATCTGCAGGAGACTTACCCGTACCCTCAGTGAGTGTGGAACGGTGGCAAATCAGAACCGACCCGGCTTTGTTTGTAGGGTCCATGCCCCCTGTTTCAACGGTCCTCACTTCACTGTCTGAACTGTCCGCTCTGCTATGCCGTTTGACGCGGGACAATAACGCTCCGATTCTATATGCTGAATTCCGTTGTTATTGACGAACCAGTTGAAACTGACGCTAACGAAAGGGAGCCATTATGGGTGTATAGAGTCTACGAATGTGGCGAATGGTGAATGCATGTCAACAATAGTGGTTTCTGGACGTTGCTTACATAACAGGATACACTTCAACTCACTTGGATTGTTCATCGATGAGTAAAAGCAACACGGTTCATTTGATCAGGCCGAACCAGCCCGCGTGAATCCGTTGCCACCGATGTACTGGACTCGAAGGTTTACTGACATGCTGAGGCTGATGTTGTATTCTTGATGCTTCTTCACCGCAGTTGGGCTAAACCAACTTCCACTTAAACTTGGTCTTTTTAAGCTGGGTAAATTTCATTCCACTTTATTTGGTTTGTTCTGCCTACCTGAATAATGTTCTATTAACTGGCCACGTTGCTGACACTAATTGCGCTTATCTTCGGTAATTTTGTTGCGTTTGTAGCATTTTTGACTAACTTGTGGACATTTCTTACTTATCGCGGATTCATTGCTAACCAACTTACTTCATATGGTAATTTAGGGAAGAGTTATGCCACCGTGTCTGTATGCATTGTTAGATTTATTTTATTTCAGCTTGTCGTTTAAAGTGAATGGCAGTTGCTTGATATCCTCGGTGTGGCTGCGCTTGATGTGCATGTTGACAAGGTGCCTACTTGTCTGTTACCCACTACCTCGTCCATACTGTCTCCAGGAGACAGTTGGTCGTTGCTGGAGGGGACGGGGTGCACGATCCTTGTGGCCGTGCTAGGCTCAAATAGCGGTTCCATGTACCCAGTGTGGAGGGGACTACGATCCAGCCACCGCCTTGTGTGCACTTCATTCCCCAAATACAGCGTGCTTGTGTTTGCCTGTGAAGGAGTGTGGGCCGGCTCCGTTGATGAAACGTAGCTCCCATCCACATGTCTCCCGATCTTATTCCTTCGGGTTTACACTGGATATGGGGTGTGTGGGTGGTGCAACGCAAGCCATCCACAGTCCATCTGTAGGCGCAGGCGTCCTGTGGCTGGCCACAGTAGCAGCCAAATCCGAAACTGGATGCCGCCAACCATGACAATTTTCCAGCATTTTTACTATACCTGGATCTATTTTTGACCACCAGTAGTATCCCCTCGCCAATGCCTTCATTCTCAATATACCTGGATATGCATCATGGAGCTCATGAGGGATCCGTGCAGAAGCCTTGATAGGAGTTACCAACCTAGAGCCCTAATGCACACAACCATCGAATAAGCTTAGCAGATTTCTGCATGCTATATATAGCTGCAAGTCGGCAGCTCCCTCAGCAGGCCATCTGTCTGTTTGATTGTTAAAAGAACTGGGTCTCGATTTGTCCACTGGCTACTTGTGAAACATCATAGAGGCATTGTATCTAGATGCTAATCCAATGAACCGGTTCACAGGGAAGATCAGGTTTATGTGACGTCCCTGCAGCTGCTAGGTGGCTCAGGGTATCCACTGTGCGAATGCTGCTGCCAGGCATGTAGGTGTTTTGTAATCACTAATGAGTGGCGGGGATTTGGGTGTAACTTATCGCAGTCCCCTCAGCCACACACGTTTTCAAAGGCACGAGACAGCTGATTCGACCTCGGTCCCCTGCCGGCTTTCCGCCCCATGACTTCCGAATACCAGCAGCTTGTGCCATTAAGCCATGGGTGACGGCGACGGACTTGGATGACTGACCTTTGACTACGATATGGCGCGGCTCATCCTCCATGTCATGCCAGTTACGAACTGTGCGCTCAACATCAAAGCCCATCGCTGCCTTCTTGATGGAGACGTTAGTTGTACCCCTTTACTTTTCTCCTAACATCGGGTTTTCTCGGATCACAATGAATTAACATTGGTGACGAGGCGAGGGGCTGTTTAGTTTTACCGAGGATCTCAACACCACGCACATTATTCCGGACAATGAATTTCTACGTGTTTATAAGCGTTGCTTTACAAGTCCCGTTGGAGAGTTGGTGGGGATGTCGAAATAATACTGATAACAATGGTGAAACAGTTAGTACTTTAATTATGAAAATAAGGACTTATCGTTTGCTCCGCTGTGTTTTTGTAATCCGCTTAGATTCACAGCACCCACCGTTAATATCAACTAAATCCATGGTAAACTCCAGGTGTAGGATGGAGTCGTAGCGCTAAGGGGCAAAGTGTAAGCGCATTAGTGCGTCATCCAGCCGGTAGTCTCGGAGAGAGCATTGCACGGGTGACAGGCACGAATGGAAAAGAAATTTCTGCGACACTCCAGACGGCCTTACTGTTCTGCGAGTTTCAATGAGTGGCCCCTCATGGTTGTATTGGTGCTGAGTCGCAGTAAAGGGCGGCACACATGATGTGGGTGTTGCAGGATCAAGTATGCTACAATCAGGTCGCATCCTAGTCTTCGATAGCTTACGCTGAATACCCCCAATCGTTGCAGCCTCTCTTGGTATGAAAGATTGCGTATTCCAATTACGTATAGAGTAACTCATTCGGTAAAGATAACATAGTGGATGCATCAGCTAAGAAACAGCTATAGTATTCCTAGAAGCGAACAGAGCTCATCAATGGTTCTCGAATCAAAGCTTTCTAAAACCGGTCTTGTCCCCTAGAATACGAAACTGTCCTTATCAAGCCTATACTCAGGATTGCACGCAGATTAGGAATGGACTTCATACCCTCAATCTAAATGCGCTTCGCTCCAATCATGCAAGTATAGCAGAATAACATACAAATGATATATATGGTTGGCGACATCCTGTTTCGGATTTGCCTGTCATTGTGGTCAGCCACAGGACGCCTGCGCCTACAGAGGGACCATGGATGGCTTGCACTGCACCACCCACAGCTCCATCCACACATCCCGTATCCACTGTAAACCCGAAGGAATAAGACCGGGAGGCATATATATATATATATATATATATATATATATATATATATATATATATATCGCAGAGGTAAGAACACTCCACCACTCTCCGTTGTTTTGTGAGTTTTATTCCACTCACCCCGTCCTCTTTCACGGTTCCCCACATATGTTTTCTGTTGCCTCACCTTAGTGACTAGCTTGTGTTGACACTGAATCTTATGCCTAATGGTTTTTCCATTACTGTACATTTTGCTCGTTCGTGAGACACCCCTGGAATGACTAGCTTTGATTGATTGTCAACCTTTCTGCATACCCTGTGATATGCTCTAATTTAATCATCCGATTGCGTTTGCACACACATACGCTTGGTGGCCGGTTTGGCTTGCGGCTTGAACATTGTTTGTTGCCCGGTTGTTGGTGTTCTCACTACCGTTAGTGGGTGGAAGCAGTCGTGGGGCTCCGACACAACAATACATATATATATATATATATATATATATATATATCTTGTGGATTTTTGTAAGTAGTGTAATGTTCGTAGAAAGTAGATGTCACGATTAAACTTCACACAATAATCTGCTTCGACGGGGAATCGAACCCCGGTCCTGCGAATTACCGGTCCGCTGCTCTACTACTGAGGGCTGACGATCAACTGCGCAATTTAATACATGACTTCTGCTTGATGCGCGACGAGTGAGTGAGCCAATCTGCAACACCAAGACAGATACTGTGAGCTCATTGGCAATACGTCGCGCACCAAGCAGAAGTCATGTATTAAATTGCGCACCTGATCGTCAGCCCTCAGTAGCTCAGTGGTAGAGCAGCGGACCGGGATTCGATTCCCCTTCTAGACAGATTATTATATGAAGTTTAACCGTGACTTCTACTCTCTACGAATATATATATGTATATATGTAACTGTTTATAATATAGACATCGAAAGCGTAGTAAGTACAATGACTACAAAACGGTACTTATATAAAGCAAAGGTTTTTGGAATTTCTCGCATGCCGCTTCCTCTCTTTTTGGTCACTTTAGTGATTACGGTTTTGATCAGTAGAATCAATGCGTAGACTTTTGCAAACCTTCAGTTGATCCCGATTACTCGCCATGTTATCAAGGGTCTTCAACCTGCGATGTTCTTCATCTCTGATTCCTCAGTCTAGAAGACGTACAGGACGGACAACAGCTAGACTGGAAGTCAGCATCTTGGCGTTTTGTCACCATGTTGTGGGTTGACCAGCGCGCAAGGGAGTAGATCGCCCGAGATTTCAACAATCACATAGAATCTTGTTATCTCACAAACCAAATGGTACTTTGAGAATATCGTTCTCAACGCTAAAAGATAAAGTTGGATAGAGCAGTTAGATTGATATAATCTACAAGAAAAGCTGCAAAAAACGCGACAGACAACAATCAGACAAAGTTCAAAGAAAATTTTAACACGGATCAACAAATACAAAATGACTATAAGGGGGCATGATCAACATTCACTGGTTTCCAAGCATGAAGATCAAGAACGGCACCACTTCAATCTAAAGAGCGTGAAGATCCTAGCCCGTGGAATTTGGAGGCAGCTAGAAAATTCTTAGAGGCATGGTATACTACAGGCAATCCAATTAACGGGCCCTTTGAAATAGATGCTATATATACAGCATCACGAATGAAGAATCACCGACTTAGTCAACTTAATCTAACGAAACAGAACCCCAGACAAACATGACGACGTCAACAGTAGAGATGCCTGTGGTAACGGTACGAGGTACGAATCAGAGAGCTCGATTTCGATCGCCATTTGTCAGTCTAACAATCCAAACTCAGACAGACATCTCGTCCGTTTAGGAGATCGCTCACTCACGCTTCGCATCGTGCCGCTCTGCTCCGCCACATAACAGCGCACTGTCGATGTCACCTCGAGTGGTGGAGAAGCGTTTGCGACTAAACCTGAGCTCAGTAAACACAGACCACCAACTGAACAACCTGGGCTACCAATATTTGATTGAATATGTAAGATGTATTTCTCGTGGTACCGACAAACCGAGCCCACAAAGGGACGGATCATATTTACATGTGCAACATGCTCAGGCATGCGACGCTGTCAATGGTTTGGGTTTTTACAGGGTTACAATAGGGATGTTTTGGCGAATATTTTCATTGGGGATTTTTGTCGCCGTATGCTTCCAGTTCGCTGGCATTCTAATTTGGTTGTTTTCGGTGCAGCTTGATGGTGCCATGATGGCACCGGTTTGATGGGGGGAGGGAGAGGTATGAAAATGATGAAGCGGTTAGAGTCACCAATCAAAATCAGATGAGTAATACACAATCTTGCTTAATAGACTTGAGTAATACAGTTGGCGCTATATGTTACTAGCGCGTTAAGTGGATCATCAAACTCAAGTTGCTTTAGCAGAATGATGTAGACAGTATTCACATCGTAGGGTAAGGCAAAGCGAGGTGTCTATACCTTCCTAGGTCTAATTATGAAATTGACCTAATCAATATGTCTTTTGGGCTGCCAGGAGGTTGAGATGCTCATTTGC